AAAAAAAAAAAAAAGATATGCTCGATCTTTGGGTATATCCCATGTGCTAATGAGAAGAATGTATGTTCAGTAGTTTTGAGTAGAATGTTTTACAAATATCTGCTAAGTTTATTTGTTCTAGAGTTCAGTTTAAGTCCAGTGTTTTTTTATTTACTTTCTGCTTCAATGATCTGTCCAGATCTCTTTTTTTTTTTTTTTTTTTTTGAGACAGAACCTCAAGCTGTCCCCCTGGTTATAGTGCTGTGGCATCACAGCTCACAGCAACCTCAAACCCTTGGGCTTAAACAATTCACTTGGCTCAGCCTCCCAAGTAGCTGGGACTACAGGCACCTGCCACAACGCCCAGCTATTTTTTGGTTGTAGTTGTCACTGGCAGTTCTGGGCTGGATTCAAACCCACTAGCTCTGGTGTATGTGGCTGGCGCCCTAGCGGCTGACCTACGGGCGCTGAGCCCTTAGTACTAGGTGCTCAGTAAATAAATACTCATTAGCCAAACCGATGAGTGAAAAACAGAATCAGCATAACTGCATGTTTCCTGAATAACAACGTATCTGACCTATCTCTGTCAGCCTCCCTGGTAATTGCTTGACCAGAGATTTATCCTTAGCAGAGTCAAAATATTAGGACTCTGCTCTGGGAGACACTGCTAAAATTTAACAGCAAGCTCTGAAATGAATAATAGCTAACTAATCTTCAGGGTTACCCTACGATTTTCTTCTGCGAGTTGATCCAAGTGCAGTAAAGTTATGTAATTATGTTTAATACACATTTTCTCTCTAACATCTTTGCATTTCTTGAACCCTTTATTCTTTCCTTGAGCATTCAAAGATCTACTAAGGTAAGGTGACCAGACGTCCTGCTTTTTATGTCCCAGGGCATTTTAAAAAAGTCCTGATTTTTGGAAAGAATGTACGACAAACTAGGGAACGGTGGGAGAACGGGAAGGGAATATACGGTTTTTGGCTGCCATGTGGCTATTTCGCCAGGATATGAGTTTTATATTATTTTTGTAAATTTTAGAATGTTAAACTTTAATAACAAATAATTGTTGAGAACTGATTATCTAGAACTACTTATCAAAGTTCGCATTGTTGATCAGTTGTTAGAATTTGACCACCATTGTTTGGACTTAATGAACAATGGCATTTTTGGCATTGGCATGACGAGAACATTTTGTAACTGTCTCTCAGACAATATACATCGTACTGTGTGCTAGTGCTGGTTAAACAAGTGATGTCAACAAATCATTTATTTAGATAATTTAGGTAAGTAATTTATTTATTTCATGAATTTAGCAGACAGTACTCATATTATTTATATTTTATAGTGGCAGCAAAAATTCTAGCACTGGCCTTGAAAGTAACACTTACAACTTACAAGGTATCATTATTAAAAAAATATATTGATAAGGAAAAGGTTAAATCTTGGGCATCAGCAAAAATCATAATAGAGAACAAATGGTTAGAAATATTTCATCGTTTTGAAACAAACCATGTTCCATACAATAATGCACTAAAAATTGAGGGATACGCGCTGTCCTTACCAGGAACTAATGCTGCAACGGAATAAGTTTTTTCTACAGTAAATAAAGTGTGGACATCAGAAAAATCACAAGTAAGTGTTGAGACTTTGAAAGCCATTTCATGTGTGAAATATAATTTAACAAATTCTTGTGAAAAATTTCATGACTTCTTAATGACAGCAATCTACTAAAAAAAATTCACTCAAATGAGAAATATGTCAAAGAATAAAATAATACTATATGTAATTTTTTAATGTATCATATTTGTAAATTATACTTATATTGAAATTAAAAAATATATATTACAATACTATTTTTGCATTCCATGAAAATTTTTGTTGCTCTATATAGACCAATTTTTAATTAAGAACCCCCGCCCCCCACCATCAATGGTGTCCTGCTTTACCAATGTTAAAATCTGGTCACCTTATCCTAGACATTCTTACCTAATTGGACTGATGTGAGACCTCTGCTTTGGAAATTTTTATAAGATTCACAGATGATTTAGAACAGTGGTCCTCAAACTTTTTAAACAGGGGGCCAGTTCACTGTCCCTCAGACCGCTGGAGGGCCAGACTGTGGGCCCCAGGACAAGTTGGCTGCTAAGCAGGACAGGCAGCTGTGGCAAAAACACCTGGTGGGCGGATAAATGTCCTGGGTGGGCCACATGTGGCCCCCAGGCTGTAGTTTGAGAATCCCTGATTTAAAATATGCAGCCTTGGCTGGGAACCACTGTTCTAAGGGGAGTATGGAAGTAGGATTAGCCTCTTTGCATTGAATAAACTCCTTGAATTTTTTGTTTTTTATAATTTTTTTTATGTTTATTTTTTATTTGTTTTTTGAGACAGAGTCTCACTTTGGTAGAGTGCCGCTGTGTCACAGCTCACAGCAACCTCAAACTTTTGGGTTCAAATGATTCTCTTGCCTCAGCCTCCCAAGGAGCTGGGATTATAAGTGCCTGCCACAACACCTGGCTATTTTTAGAGGCAGGATCTCACTCTGGCTCAGACTGGTCTTGAACCTGTGAGCTCAGGCAACCCACCTGTCTTGGCCTCCCAGGGTGCTAGGATTATAGGCGTGAGACATCATGCCTGGCCTTGTTGGATTTTTTACATCATTTGAGAACAGGGGTGGGAGGAAGCTATAAAATAAAGTATTATCAAGCTTCCTATTGATCTGAGCAATTAATTCCACTTAGACAAGAGTACTTTGTCTAAACTGAAACTATGAGTTGACAATGACCAGGACCAACTAGAGAAAGGGTAATGTGCTCCCCTAACCAATGGTGTAGTATGTCTTGTTTCCAGTTGTCCACCTCTGGCTTCTTCGTGTCAACAGCCTTCCATCCACACACAGTTGAAGCTTTCGTTTTTTTGCATGCTAGAAAGCTTTCCCCAACCCACTGCCAGCCTCTGAGTCTGCCAAGCATTAATGGCTGACTCACTCTGAACAGCCTCTGCATTTTCTCACTGGGGCGCTATGTATTTATTTCTACATTATTACCCCAAGCAGGTGAAGCAGTTAAAACACTGGATCATTCTGGCCATAAGTTGGAGACAACTCCCAAATTTATAATTTCCAGTGCGAATACTACCTCGTGCTTCAAAGACATAAAACCTTCACCATGCGATATTCCGTTCAACTCATCGTCTTTAGAATGCTCATTTTCTCTGCCCTTCAACTTGCTTCTCCTGGATTCTCTACCATCCAGCCAGTCATGGGAGCTGGAAATATGACCTCATCACTCCTTCAGTTCCCCACTCAATTAGCCACAAAATCCTGTTGGTCTGACATCATAATCATCGCCACATGCCCCATCATTCCCATCATTCAGGCCTTGTGATCTCATTCCTGGACCATCCCCACAGACTCTTTTAGCCAGGAGGCTACTTCCCTTTAAATTACTTCACCGTCAGGGTGATTAATCTCAAAAAAAAGTCTGGCTATGTTATGCTCCTATATAAAAGCCTACTGTGCAGTATAAAGTACTAGCTGCCCAGGGCAAACGAGACCATGGGCCCAAGTCTGTCAGTTTCCAGCCTTTCCTGTCACCAGGCCTAGGAAGCACCCCTAGCCTGGCGCAGGTAACACTATTTCCTGTCCGCTTAGCTCCGTGCATTACAAAGGAGCTCATGTTTCTCTTCTCTCCTAAGCTAAGAGATTCTTCTAGGGCAGGGACTGTGTTATAACATCTTTATCTCTTCCATGTCTTATTCGGGGTCTGGAATATGAGAAGTTCTCAAAAAATACATTTAAAAAAAAGCCAAACAAACCTAAACGTAGGAGTATAGAGAGGCTCTGACCCCAGCTTTTACATGTACATGATGTCTAGGTGAGCACACGTGATAAAGAGAAGCTCTCTGATAACTGCGTAGTATCCTCATTTACTCATGCTGAGTAAAACCTTTTTTGCGGGGGTATGGAAATAATTTTTTACCCAAACCAAAACAAACCTTAAACATTTTGGCTCCAGGAATTTCTGTGATTTGTTCTTCTGAGTAAGAGAGATTCTGCTCTGCAAAAAATTCTCGTATCCCAAGTTCACTGATTTCCACACCAACTACAGTGTGTCCCAGGTCTGCAAACCTGCATAAAATAATACATTTAGACTTAATTTTTCTTTTCAAATTCAGTATTAAATAGAGGTGTATGCCCCACTGAACACCTGTTTTGGTTTATTATCTCTCTATATTTGTCTTTATTTAAAAATTTTTTTAGAGATAAAGCCTCACTCTGTTACCCACTTGTTTCAGTCTCCTGAATAGCTGGGACAACCTGTGTGCAGCACCAAGATTGGCTAATTTTTTTTTTTTTTTTTTTTTGAGATAAGATTTTCACTAAGTTGCCTTGGGGTTGAGTGCCGTAGCATCATAGCTCACAGAAACCTCAAACTCTTGAGCTTAAGTCATCCTCTTGTCTCAGCCTTCCAAGTAGCTGGGACTATAGGCATCTGCCATAATACAGCTAGTTTTTCTGTTTATAGAGACAGGGTCTTGCTTTGCTCAGGCTGGTCTTGATCTCCTGAGTTTAGGCAATCCACCCACTTTGGCCTCCCAGAATTCTAGGGTTACAGGCATAAACCACAGCATCCTGCCTAACATTGGCTAATTTTTAAAAAGTTTTTTGCACAAGCAAGGGGTCTTGCTATGTTGCCCAGGCTGGTCTTTAACTCCTAGCCTCAAGCTCTGGGATTATATAGTGAGCCACCACACCTAGCCATGTTTTCCTTAATTTTACGGGATTTATATGAATTAAGGTTCACAGGGTTTCAGAGAACATGTAGGAAAGGCTGGCTGCCCGTAGCTCAGTGGTTAGGGCTCCAGCCACATATACCGAGGCTGGCAGGTTTGAACCTGGCCCAGGCCTGCTAAACAATGACAACTGCAACAACAACAACAAAAAAAAGCTCAGCGTTGTGGTGGGTACCTATAGTCCCAGCTACTTGGGAGGCTGAGGCAAGAGAATTGCTTAAGCCCAAGAGTTTGAGGTTGCTGTGAGATGTGACACCACAGAACTCTACAGAGGGTGACATAGTGAGACTCTGTCTAAAAAAAAAAAAAAAAGAATATGTAGGAAAGTGTATCTATGTTTTCAAACTTCATGTTATATGGAATTCTGAAAAGTTAATTTATATTACCTTAGGAAAAAAAGTAGTATCTTAAAATGTTGACTTAATACAAATGACTGTGGCTACAGGAAATGCTTTCAATTGCCCTAAATTAGTGCTACCAATTAAAATTTCCCACAGTGATGTAAGTGGCTATATCTGTGCTATCCAACACAATAGTCATCAATCATACTGGCTAGTGAGTATTTGAGATGTGCCTAATCTGACTGAGGAATTGAATTTTAAATTTTCTTTTAGTTTAAATTTGAATAGTCACATGTAGCTAGTACTATGTTATTTCAGCACACCATTTTAGAATATTAGCATCCATTTATATAATAATCCTTTTTTTTTTTTTGCAGTTTTTGGCCAGGGCTGGGTTTGAACCCACCACCTCTGGCATATGGGGCCACAGGCGCTGCCCTATATAATAATCTTATAATTTCCATTTGCTTACAATAAACACTATCCAAGAATTTATTTTATTACCATATGCAAATAACTAGTATTATTTCCCTGGTAAGCTTTAAAATTATAGAATTCACAGTTTTGGGATCTCTTTTTTTTTTTTTTTTTTTGAGACAGAGCCTCAAGCTGTCCCCCTGGGTAGAGT